GGCTCAGCTTCTCTGCCCTAGGAGCTTGGGATGGTGGCGGGGGAGCTTCCTTCTGGGTTCTGGGACCGGCTCACCTTCTCTGCTCAAGGAGCTTGGGATGGCGGTGGGGGAGCTTCCTTCCGGGTGCTGGGACTGGCTCAGCTTCTCTGCCCTAGGAGCTTGTGTATACATTTTTTATTGTTGCTAATAATGATAGTTGACATTTATTGAATGGTCAGCTAAGTTCTTTTACTATGTGAAGCACTTAAAATGAACTAATTACTAGTGTTGTTATGCTCATGGCAGAGGTGAGGGAACCAAACCTTCATGGTAAGTAACTTGTCCAAGATCATAAAGATTCAAATGCATTTCAGCTTTATTCAAAAACTTGTGCTTTTAGTGCTTAGACTGTGCTACTTTCACTTTGCTATTGCTGTTTTGGCCATAATAAGATATAATTTGTTTAAGTATCTTTTTTTCTTAAAAATATTAATAGAATGTTTATTTCATTGAAAATCAAAGTAAGGCAGCTTTTTGTCTTGAGTAACTCCTTCATCTTGAAATAGCATTTCCAGAGGCTGAAATGGAACTGGAAAATCATTAAAAAGAAATGTAGTTTAATAATTCATTTTGAATTTGTAGTCTTAAACTGACACACTTAATGGGTTGATCAGTCGTTTTTGGGTTTTTTTTTTTTTTTGGTACCGGGGATCGAACTAGGGTCCTTGCGCTTACAAGGCAGGCAGTGGAACCACAGAGCTAAATCCCTAGCCCTTGATTGGTCTTTTTTTATAAAACAACAGCCATCAGAAGTTCCCTACTGAATTATAAGAAATTTAAAGACAGGGACTGATTTTTTTTTTATTAATTTTATTGGTATATTTTAGGTATACAATATAATGACATTCATCATTGGAAATTTGTACTTTTACATAATCTATCTTGGTTCTTATTTTGTCCCCATTCCCCTGCCTTCCCTTCAACCCCTCTACCTTCCCTAGGACTGATTGTTTTCATGTTTGTAAATGTGGCATATAGCACAGAGCTGGGCATACGCTTGGTCACTCATTAAATATTTATGGATGAATATATGAGCATTTTGAAATGTAGTGAAATTTAAAATATAAAATAAACATGATTGTCTTTTGGTGATGTTGCCAAAAGCAAACAAATAACTTGATGTCCTCTTCTCTGTCATTTGTTTGTTTTTTTTTATACTGGGGATCGAACTCGGGACCTTGTGCTTGTGAGGCAGGCGGTGGAACCACTGAGCTTAATCCCCGGCCCTTCTCTGTCATTTGTAAATGTCCTTTTCTCCAAAACATTCTGCTGACACTTGGAATACATGTGTTTAAGAAATATACCAATTTAACAAACTCAAGTGTTTTGTAGGTTAATTTGAAACCACAAATTTTCAAAGTTGAGTTAAAGCCTGACCTGACTTATGTGGTCATAAATTTGTCCTTGGATGTAACAAAATGCTTTTATAACATGCTCAGGTAAATTTTAATTTATTATGTAAATTCTGTGTGTTTAGGAACCTTTGTGTTTATGCAGGAACACAGAAGAAGACATGAAAGAGTACTATGGTCAGAGGAAGTTGGAGTTGTGTCTGACAGGGTGACTGAGATAGCAGAGGAGAGGACTGTGAGGAAGACGGTGGTTCGGATGCCCCAGGAGGCCATTATGGAGAACACAGTGTGCTCTGAGGGTGGTAAAGAGGCGTGGAGATGTGAAATGGCATAGGGTGTTAGAAATAATGCAGTTTAGGGGTGTTAGTGTTGACTTGGGCACATGTGATGTGAGCTAAAGCAAGGAGCAGGAAATAGGAGTTACCAGCTTCATTCTGAAGGAGTCAGAGTCACAGATGTGCAATTTTTTGTTACACATGGGTCGCCATTTATAGTAGTGTCCATTTTAGATTTTGAGTCAGTGGCATGACAGAGTTAGCATGAAAAATAGAAATGAGGTCAGGATTAGCTGATAGTGACAGAGGCAGAGATAAAGTGAAGTTACCATTTTATATGTTTATTTTCAATTGAAATAGAAGTAGTCCTGGGCAGTGAGCCAGGAGAGGTTTTCATGCTTCTCTGACATAATTAAAGTGAGTAAAAAGCCACTCAGAAGCATGTTTCAGAGTATCAGAAAAGGGGGTGAGGGAGAAACTTCAATTACTGAAAAATGTGTTGTTGGAATTTTTTTTGACAGATCGCTTTAAATATCATATTGTTAAGCAGATTTTCTCTGGAGGAGACCAGACTTTTGTACTTTGCTCCAAATACGAGGTAAACTTTTCTTTTGACTATTACTTTGGGGTGAATAATGGTGAATCTGTAATTATTTTAATAAATAATTACATGCAAGCGTTGTTACTTTGTTTCTACCAATTTTATCTTACTAAAACAAGCAAACTAAACTGTGAAGTATTTAGTATCTCCTTTTGGACCCTTTGAAGTTGCAATAGTTTTCCTATTACTAAAATCATAATGTTCTGATTTATAATTTCAAAATACTTATTTATATCCATATTTGTTCTAAAAGAAATGTAAGGAACCCTACGGCCTAGAGAGTTTGTGCTTTGGCATTACTTCACTTTTTTTCCTTAGCTGTTAAGCAGCAACAAATTCCAGGTATTTGAGAGCTTGGTGGGTTCGGTGTCTTTGCTTTGTTTGATTGTATAATGTACGTAACAGATATCACAGTTTATAGATATCTGTTATTTTTCTAGTCACTGCACCACATGTAGATCTCCCTCCTGTATTGCTGTAGCAGATAAACCAGGAAGAGCAGTGGGTTTCAGGTAGAATCACGTGAGGATCCAAGAAGCTGTGATAGCAGTATTCATTCCACTCTTCTTGTCCAGTGAGTCTTAGTCTGAAACAAGTTCCATGTGTTTGCCCTGTGCTTCTTTCCTCTGTTCTCTGCCCACTCCCTTTATTTCACAAGCATCCGAGGAGGATAAACTGTGTGCAGCATTGAAGGGACCCTTGGTGATAAAAGAATTCGTATTGGCTAGGAAGAAAGTGAGCAAGTGAGAAAATAAGGGCCCTTTCAATCTTGGAAGGTCTCCCTGGTAGTCTGGTATGTTGCCATCCTTAAATACACACATCTCTTGTCCTCTAGTCAGTATAATTCTGTGATTCTGGTAGCAAAAGTACTGGTGAAGCCCAAGGCTGCAGTGTGTGGACAGTTGAAACTGACAGCGAGCTTTCTCCAGGTCAAGAGCCTGAGAAAGGCTGGGGAGTGCTGCCATCTGGGGAGATGTGGGGTTGCTGCTTGGTACTTATCTGAGGCTCAGCTGCAGAGCTTCCCAGAGAAATCTTGAGAAAAGCTGAGGTTATTCTTTATTTTTTCAAAATGACAGTAAGGCAAAATAAGGAAAGCACAGGGGCTCTGCGGGGTAGTAACTTTTTTGTCCACAAGTAGTAGACTTTTAAGTATTCATTTCCTAGGAAATTGACTTGACTAATAACCTACTTTGATTTGTCCATGAATATAAATCTTAGTGTTTTTATTCTTTTTTTTTTTTTTTGAGACAAGGTCTCACTATGTAGCCCAGACTGGCCTCAATCTTGTGATCCTTCTGCGTTAGCCTTCCAAGTGCTGGAAATACAGGAGTGTGCCACCATGCCTGGCCATTCCTTTTAGAAGCAGTCTAATATATATAGCTGAAGCTCTACATTTTTTTTTCCCGGTACTGGGGATCCAACTCAGGACCTTGCACTTGCAAGGCAGGCACGGCACCACTGAGCTATATCTCCCTGAAAGCCCCCTGAAGTTTAAATTTATTAACACTATTGGGTGTGGAAAGCAAACCATAATGAAGGGGAAGTGAAGTTTAACAATTGGTAAGAGAAGTATGCATTAAACATTTAAGGTAACAAAATAGACAATTACTGAAAAAGGCACTGCTTTTTCTAAAAATGAAACCTATACACATTTACTTACACTATTAACCATAGATGTTTGTTTAGATACAGAGACTGAGAACATTATGTTCTTGCCCTGTTATCCTATCACTTAAAGATCAAGGAAAAGCATCTGTGTAGTGTCAGCCTCTGCTTTTGTACAGCTCATTCATTAATGTGGCCTTGAGGTAGAACAGCTGGGTCCAGTGGCACATACTTACAATGCTGGCTATTCAGAAGGCTGAGTCAGGAGAATCACAAATTGGAGGTCAGCAAAATCCTGCTTCATAATAAAAAGAGCTGAAGATGTGGCTCATCACTCCCTGTGTTCATTCCTCGTAGCCCCTCTCGTGTTAACTCACACGAGTTAACAGTATGAGTGTCCCGTATCCAAAATGATTGAGACCAGAAAATAAGTGTTTCACATTGCAGATTTGTGGGAGTTTTGGAATATTTGCATATTCATAATGAGATACCTTAGGGACAAGACTGAAGTCTAACTGTAGAATTCATTTATATTTCATATATACCTATATACATTGCCTGAAATTAATTTTATATAATAACTTTAATAAATTTGTGCATGAATTTTTCCACATGTAGCATCATGTTGATACTCAAAAACTTAGGATTTTGAAGCCTTTCAGAGTTTAGGGTTTTGGATTAAGGATGCCCAATCTGTATTCAGATACTCCTTTGCTACATTTGATTCTGGGTTTTGGCAACTTAGTGTAAACCATAGGCACTCCTTTCCCGTTTGTCTTGTTCTCTGGATAGGATTGAAGAGAGTGTAGTTAGAACTGTCATTGCATCAAAACCTGCTAGCTGACATGATGTTTTTTTCCTTTCAACCATAGTTGTCCCTTGGAATCGCCTGGAAACTTTAAAAACTACAGAAACCTCTAGAGTTCTTATTTCATGGATCTAGAGTGTAATTTGATTATTAGAACATTTTTAAAGCTCTTTTGGTGATCCAAAGCCCAGCCAAAATCGAGAAATGCTTATCTAGAGCATTTTTTTTTCTTTTTAACTTGTATGTAGTTAGAAGCCATAGAAGGCTGGGAGTGTAGGTCATTTGCAGAGTGTTTGCCTTGCAAGAACCCAAGGCATCTAGGGCTTGTTGGACAAATAATAATGAGAAAATAGTTCTAAGTCTAATTTATTTTATAAGGTTGCATTATTTTTGATGTCACTCCTTTGAAGTGGAGAAAATTTAGTTTTAAAACCAGCATGGAAAGCAAGATAATCGGTGTGTGCTCAGACATCCACTTTGGCTTAAGAGTTTCTTGTATGTAATTCAGGATTATTTTTATTCTCTCAATATATGTCTGTGATCATTTCAGTAAAATAGTTATCAAAAACCAAATGATCAGAAACTTTGAGACACATCTCTGGCGTATTATATTCCCTCCTTTTCCTCTTAGTAGGGGCATCTTCACTCACAACTATAGAAAAGCAACTAGGAAAATTTACTTTTTTTAAATTTGGTACCAGGGATTGAACTCGGGACCTTGTGCTTGCGAGGCAGGTGGCGGAACCACTGAGCTAAATCCCTGGCCTATGGAAAATTTACTTTTGAAAGTTACATTTTTGGGGACTAGGTCTTGCTATGTAGTTCAGGCTAGTCTTGAGCTCACTGTGTAGCCCAGGTTGGCCTTGAACTTGTGGAATTCCTCCTGCCTCAGCCTCCTGAGTGCTGGGATTACTGTTATGCACTACCATACCCCACCTTTAAAGTTATGTTTTATGTGTATGTACACACACATAGAGATAAAAGATAAAAGATTGTTCTACGAATTGATGGATAAATGCTTTAATGTTACTGTATTCCTTTTTATAGTTACAAGTATAGGAGGTATAGAGCACCACTAGCTTTTTCATAGTTCTAGATCAGGAGCTAATTGGGGAAATTAAGTTGAATGCAAGCAATGGAAATTCTCACTGGATAAAGGTGTATAATGCTGAGCAGTGATTAGAATCTTCAAGGCCATTATTGATCTCTTTCTTGTCACTTTTTTTTTACAAGTTTTATAGCTATGTACTTGGAACAAGAAATTATGAGGTTTTAAATTTTCATAAGTTATTTACTATATAAATTATAACTTAACTGACTTTTTAATAATACACTTTGTTGCAGTTTGGTAAATAATTATGGCAAATAATTAATGTCTTAGAAGCCTTAATCTTATGGGGAAGAGATCTGGAAGAGTTGCACTGATTTTCTGGGAAACAGACTTTGGGCTCAGAGTTTTTGAAGGTTTATTGTGGCATAGCATCCACTCAGTGGGGAAGGAGGCTGTGCTAGGCATAGAAGTTACACTTCCATTCAGTTGCTGCCAAGGGCAAGTCCTGGAGAGCAGCCCAGGGCTGAGCTGTCAGCAGCTGGGAGTGAGTACCTCCATATTGAAGGGGGGATTTGGGCAGCACAATGAAAAGAACGTGGAGGCTATGTAGGAGGGAGGAGGAAAGATCCATTCTGTGTAACTTCTTTTTTCCCCTAGACTGGGTCTTGAGCTGTGTAGTCCAGGCTGACCTGAAACTCGTGATCCTTCTGCCTCAGTCCCTCTAATTTCTTTTTCTTTTACTGTTAACATTTAATTTTCTAGAATTCTTCTCCTGCTGTTGACTTCAGGACTGGGAACCAAGCACATTATACCAGCTTAATAAATGATGAAACCATAGCAGTGTGGAGACAAAAACTCTCAGAACACAACAATGCAAATACAATGAAGTATGTAGTTGCCTGTCTTTATTTTTTTCTAAAGTATATTGGCACTTTCTAGCTTAGTGTTTTTCCCTACATCCATGTCGAGGTTGTGAATGTAAATGGAGCTTTACGTTTAGGCAATCTGTTCTTGCACATTTATGCAGGATATGGTCCTATTAGCTCCCAGTAATACAATGGATTGCTTTCAGTTTGCACACACTCCTCAGCCTGTCATTAGAAAGCCTTTAAAATCCCAACTGAGGAAGGCTAAAGTTGGCCTTTGTGCTAAGAGAGCTCAGTATTAAATTTTGTAACACCAGTGGGTTTCCTCATATTCATGTTCCAAAGCACCCCAAATCTAAGACAGCTTTTATCTTATTTAATCTAAATAACTTCTAACATTTTTCCATTCAACAAGATAAATGGAGATGGTCAATCCAATCGTATAGGGTAAAAAGTATAGTAAAAATTATTGAAGCTTGTGCTTGTTTCGGCAACACACATACTAAAAACTATTGAGGCCTTCCTCAGTTTTATTTCATTCTTAAAAGAATTTTTTTCTGCACATATTTATATATTTTCATTGCCTTAGCATTTTCATTGTTTTTGCAGAGAGCCTTAATTTTTGAAATGAGGAAATCAAGCTCTGTGACTAAGGGTGGTCATTCCGAGAGATGTGTATAATCGGTCTTGGTTTATGGTCTACATTGTACTAGGGCCGATGACCAGGACCCTGCACTTTGGAGCTCTCCTGCTAGTACCTTTCTGAGTGAGGTGTTACTGGGAACATCCTAGAGCAGCTCTACAGTAGCCCTCAGGATCCTTCTAACCCCAGGGCCTCTGTGAAGGAGTTCAGGTTGGAAGGGCTGTGAGGGCGAGCAGAGGGTTAAATTGGGTACCACTGGGAGAGCGGAAGATACTGTACTTCACCAGTAGCTCTGCTTTCCTCTTTATGAAACGAAGGGATTGAAGTGATCTCTAAAGATCTTTCCTGACCCATGTTTGATGATTAACAGAAATTACTGCAGTCTCTTCCCCAGCCACTTAAATTTGTCTAATTCTTTCCCTTCTCTCTATAGTAAGTAAGAGGATCCTAAATTCCTGACATACAATTCACATTCAGTTTCACAGAAACTATTTCTCAGAGCCTATATATATAATCTATGTAATACAAAGAAACAGTTTGCTAATTTTTAGTTTCTTTCTCAAATGAGCAACAAAGTAGAAGGAAGTGGTGGGTCAGTTATTAATTTACAAAAATAATTTCTCTGGAAATAATAGCCCAGCCCTTTTGTTTTACTTTTTGTGTTTGGAGTTGAGATAGGGAATGTTTTAGATATTTGGTAGTGGGAGAATGTTCAGGATTGCCTTCAGGGATAAGAATTCTTTTAAGAGCTTTTATCGCTCTTTTTTTAAAAACATAACTTATGGAAAACTTAAATTCTTATCCATTTTGAGATGTGACACACAGTTTCTCTAATGCGTATGTATATTTTCCAAGTGTAGCTTTGTCTTAGTCACCTTCTCATCACTGAGACATAGTACCCATCACCCACAACTTAAAGGAAGAAAGGTTTATTTTGGCTCACAGTTTGTAGAGGTTTCAGTGCATTGTTGGCCAGCTGCAAGGCAGAATTGCAAGGCAGAATGGCACGGATGCATGGCAGAATAGTCACTGCTTACCTCTTGGTGACTCATATCAGAGAGCAAGTGGAGAGCCAGGAAGAGAGATAAGACACTTAGAGCCTACTCCCATGGGCCTCTTCTGACCAGACCCTTCCTCCTAACAGCAAGTCAACTGTGCCGTCCTCACAACCCATTCACCTTTCATATGCCTATGAGCATATGCGCCTTTGGGTGATGTTTTAGATCTAAACCGTAATGGGCTTCATCTAGGTAAGAATCAGCTACCACTAGTGAAACTTTTTTGGATTAAGAGATTGACTAGATAATTATTGATGGTTAAATAACCATTTATTTGTAATCACTAAAACCTTCCTTTCTCTCTCTTTGAATAGTGGTGTTGTTCAGATATTATCTTCTGCAGCCTGTTGGAATGGAAGTTTTCTTGAAAAAAAGTAAGTGACTTATAGTCTTGAAAAACCCACATTTGATATAAACATCAAAGGGTGTGAAAGACTTCTGTTCTTTTTGATGGTTTTTGGCCTTAATTCAGTGAATAAACTGAAGCTTTTACAAAAGTTAGATGCTTGCCAGGGATTTAGCTCAGTGGTTCTGCCGCCTGCCTCACAAGCATAAGGACCTGAGTTTGATCCCTGGTACCAAAAAGAAAAAAAAATGTTAGATGCTTAATGATGAATGAAAGGATGCCAGGAAAGACAATACGGAATCATGCCTGGTTGGCAAAGAAACACTGTACCTACCAAAGACTAAGATTGTCTCAGGAAGAATTGATGTAATCTAAAGTCAGAATTTCAGGGTATTGTTTGTACGATGTTACCCATATCATACATACATTAGGTTGCTTTTGTTGTTGTTGTTGTTTTGTGGTACTGGGAACCAAACCCAGGGACACTGTGTCACTAAGCTACATCTCCCCCCCCCCCGCCCCCACCCTTTTAAATTTTTGAGACAGGGTCTCACTAAGTTGCCTGTGCTGACCTCCAATTTTCAATCCTTTTCAACCTCCCAAGTTGTTGGGGTTATAGGTTGCATCACTATGCCTTGCTTATTTGTTCTTAAACTCTTTAATTCTTTAAATTGTCTCATTGATCTCCTTGCTATGCTTCTCTGTAGTATTTTTCTTTTCTCAAAAGGACTGAACTTCCAGGGAGCCTTCAGGGAATCCTAGAATTTGAGTCCAGCCCAGCTTACCTGGAAGTTGTATCTGTGGAGGAACTCCCAGTCAGCAAGTAGATCTCACTTTACTTGGCCTTATCTCTTTGGCCAGTTTTCCCCTCAGGAACCTGATGCAGCCTAAGGGTTTTATCATGGGTTTGGATCTTTGGTGATCCAAAGTCCTTATCATTTCTCAGTACTTTTTGCCAGTGACCAGACTAATGAGATTTCAAGACAAATGTGTTATCTTTCTGTTACTATAACAAATACTTTTGAGATAATCAAGTTAAAAAGAGGAAAGATATATTTTGGCTTGTGGTTTTAGTCCATAGTTGGGTGGCCACACTGATTTTGAGTCTATGGTGAGGAAGTACATAACGGCGGAGAGTGTGGCAATATAGATGTACAGCAGAGGAAGCTGCTCACATTATGGTGTCCAGGAAGCAAAAGAGAGGAAGGGGCTAGGATCCTAATATCACTTTCAAGAGTATGCCCCTAATAACCTCATTTCCTTTTACTAGACCATACCTCCTAAAGGTTCTACTCCTTACAGTTGTGCCATGGACTGGGGCACCAAGCCTTTGACACATGGGCCTTTGGGGAGCATTCAAGATCCAAGCTATAGCAATAAGATAGAGTTTAGTTTTGTGTGTGAATCCCATCTCTAACCTTAAACATGTGGCAGTTGTCAGGATTCTTCAAAGGAACAGAATAGGATGGATGGATCAGAGGCAATATACTGTGAGATTTGGTTTATGTGATAATGGATGCTGAGAGGTCCCCTGATGAGCCCTTCAATCTAAAGACCTAGGCAAGGTAGTAGTGTGGCTTAGTGTAAGACCTTAAAACCAGGAAGCTGCTGGTAAAACATTTAGGCCAAGGTTGAAGGCCTGAGAACCAGGGGCGTTCTAGTGTAAGACCTAGGGAGAGAGGAGAGGAGAAAGGGGAGAGAGAAGGGAGGGAGAGAAAGGGAGAGGGGGAGAGGCAGAGGGAGAGAGAGAGAGTGTGACCTTGCCTTTCCTCTGCCTTTCTGTTCCTTTTAGGCCCAGGCTGGACTCAGAATTGCTGTAGCCCTGCCTCAGCCTCCCAGAGTGCTGGCACTACAGTTATGCACCACCATGGTGCGCCCCCGCCATTGACATTTGTGCTATTGCAGGAAGCCTGCTTCTCCAGTATATACAAGATGCATCACAGCAAACCAACCAAAATGAAGACCAATTTTACAAACCAATGTATATGTATAGATAAGAATTTTTTTTTAACAGCATAGGTGTAACATACATCTAAGTATATCGAAAGTTATATTTGGGCACCAGAATTAATATTTTGTGCCCATTTATTTTAGGACAGCAACAACAAAAAAACCCAACAAAGAAAAGTGACTACTCTTGATTTGACCATTTGTGTTCCAATACATAGAATCATTATTTTTTTACATGTTAGAAACTCTACCTGTCTTTTTATAAATTGTAACATTGCTGTCAGTGGGTGTTAAAACTATTTAAATGTGTCACTCATAAACAGAAGCTTATTTTTCAAGTAAACAGCTCTTTTGTAAACCAATAGGTATGGTATATTTAAGAGAGGGTGTTTAAGAGATACTCTTAAGTCTCTGAAAGGCTAAGAATATTTAAGTTTGGGAAAACGACTTAGTTGCTAGGAAGTTAAAAAGTTGCTGTGAAATTAGTCCTTGGGTGAATGTAATTGTGTCCCATGTGTTATCTAAGAGAGATATTTACAGTTGTTGTAGATCTGATTTTTATTTTAAGTACTTTGTTAAGGAAGATGCAAATAGAGAAGTTCTCTTTGCCATTTGCTGATGGACTGGCCGGTTTGCACAGGTGATGTTTTTGCACCTGGCCACAGCATCTGAATAGCATTGCAGTGTCCGTGTATAGTTGCAGAAAAGGGTAAAACAAACAGCAATCCACAAAAGTCAATCAGGGAAATAACACTCTGAACTTCAAGGAATTTAAAATAAAAATCTTTTAAAAGTACAAAGATTGAAAAACGATTTGAAAATTTAAAATCATCTTCAAAAAAGAGTTGCCTGTGAGGTCTATTCTCTAGGGCTTCCCCAAAGTGTGGTCTTGTAGATCTTGTCTGCCAGGTCATATTTAAATCTGATCAGCATAGACAAACTATTTTGTTTATTGTTCATAATTTCTACCCCAGTGCTTGTTTTGTTTTTCTTTTATTCAATACTGTTTTGTTTGTTTAGAATTGATGAACATTTTAAAACAAGTCCCAAAATCCCTGGGATTGACCTGAACTCAACTAGGGTATTATTTGAGAAGTTAATGAACTCTCAGCACTCCATGATTCTAGAACAGGTATGTTCTTAACATTTTCAAAGCACATTTTTGGAAATGCATTTCTGCATTTAATAATTCTACTTTTCCCCCTCCGTTTTTTAACTAGTATATATTTGTGATACATAGGAATAATTCAACTTTTAAGAGAAAAAAGATGACAAGACAGGTCTTGTACAAATTTTAATTTAGTAATTCATTTTGGGAATTTGGCCTTCTTTTGGCTTTCTCTTTGGCTTAACCTAAGGAATATAAGATTTGTACAGGCAGGAGCATTCAGACTTTCTTCTCCTTGAGGTTCTGAGAGCCTTGACCAATGCCTGGTTGGTAGTAGTTGATCAGTGTATAGTGCAGGAATAAGAGTGAGTCTATCAAATAGTTTATGAATTTAGAGATAGATTAACTAGATTTCAGGCATGTTTGAATTTCTCATTACTCTTTTCTTTCATACAGATCTTAAGCAGCTTTGAAAGTTGCCTGATTCCACAGTTGTCAAGTTCACCGCCAGATGTTGAAGCAATGAGAATCTATTTAATACTTCCTGAATTTCCCCTGCTCCAGGATTCCAAGTATTACATAACACTGACTATCCCCTTGGCTATGGCCATTCTGCGGCTGGATACAAACCCTAGTAAAGTATTAGGTGAATGTGCTAAAGTCATTCAAGTGATTTTGTGCTTATTTTGTTGCTGTTACCCCTGGCTCTCAGTGGATTGAGGTCCCACATCTACTTGTTGGGTGTAACATAAAAGTGTTAACATTTAAACTTTTCTTTACTGTTAATGTCTAGCTAGCCTTTTTTGTAATTTAAGCAAATTGAACCATTATTTAGGTTATTTGAAATAACTCATGCCACATTAATCTTGATTTGGAAATGCCACACAGTCACATCATTCAGTGTATTTCCTTCCTCTCACATTTGCTTCTAGTTCATAGTGCCTCAAAAGTTAGTGTCTGCTGTATCTACTTAGGGAGTGGGAGTGGACTGGTTTTGGTGAAACTGAGGTCTGCAGGAAAGGAGAGGCAGAAAATGACCTAGTAGAGACTTAGTAACTGTTTGTTTTGTTTTTCTTTTTAGGATGGTTGAGTCCACACTGATTTTTGCAGGCTCTGGACACTTTGCTGAGATAAGAACCTTCTGTTCCTCAGTGAATTGGAGAGTGTCTGTCTTGGAGTAGCGCCTAAGATGTTTTTATTAAGCAAGTGAAGGAAGTCTGTCACCTGGCTTTTTTACTTTTACCCCCTGGTAATTTTTTTTAGGTGTTTGTTGTGACTCAGTAACTTCTGTGTTCAGGTGGATTGAGCTGGTATTTGAGCATGGTCTCCCCTTGATTGAAGAGATCTATCTGGTTTTGCTCTTTCACACAGAACACAAAAGCAGAAAAAATAATAAAAGTATTAGATCAAAAGCCATTTGGGTACATTTTCTTAGGTGTTCTAACAGTTGTGAGATAAATGACAATCTGAAGAAATATTACCCAATTTTAAGTTTTGGGGTTTTAAATAAACTTTTCCAGGTCTCATGATACCAAAAAACAGATGTGAATTTTATATTAAATTTATTTTTAACTTTCAATTATTGAAATTTGAAAGAATACCTCAAAAGAGCACTATAGGTATACAGCAGACATATTTAACATTGTCAACATTTTGTCCTTTTTATTTTATCCTGCCTCTGCTTTTTTTATGTAATATTTTATTTTATTTTATTTTTTTATGTAATATTTTAAAGGAAAGCTCAGATAACATATTTGTTCATTGTTTAACTATTTCAGTATGATTAAGTTTATTTCTAACAAAGTAGAAGTCAATAGTATAATCTTGCTGGGCAGGAGAAGGCATTGTTTGGAGAAAAATAATAAAAGAAGTAGTTTTTCAAATAATTATGCCTCTTTAAGGAAAGAAATAATTTTCATGTTGGTGCCACTTGTAGGGGCTGTTGTCTTTCACATCCTTGGTACAGGATGTCAGCAGTGGCTGAGAGCAGTGCTGAAGGAACTAGGGCATGTGAGCACAGTTTGGAGTAATTCAGTGGACATCCCTCATGTCCAGAATATGTGTATCTTGTCCTCTTGCCACCTTAGAATTAACTTTTAGATTAGCCTTCCGAATGAGTTTGAAAAAAATTCAGATTTGCTTTTACCAAAACAAAACAACAAAAACACCCCAGGGATTCTTATATAACTGCTGCAGAAATTTCTACAGAAATATTTTAATAGATTCTTTTTTAAAGTCAGTTTGGGGAAGCTGCATTTTAGACTACTGTTTATCTTCTGGCCTTTGGTGTTTTTAGCTAACAGGCAGAAGCATACATACTTGCTCCAGATTATATGTTGAAATATGTTTTTTTTTCTTTCTTAAGATAACTGGTGGTCTCAGGTATGCCCCAAATATTTCATGAAGCTGGTAAACCTCTATAAAGGTGCAGTCCTTTATCTACTGAGGGGAAGAAAGACATTCTTAATTCCTGTACTGTTTAACAATTATATTACAGCAGCTCTCAAGCTCTTGGAGAAGTTATATAAGGTGAGCATAGGAGGAGCTAGTGGGGAGGGGGTGAATAGATGGTAGGGTGAAATATCCTGCTATGATGTTCTCTGGGAAGCAATTTTTTCATTCTCTGTGTTTAGTTATCCTTATTTTGCCTTTTATCAGGTAAATCTTAAAGTGAAGCATGTGGAATATGATACATTTTACATTCCTGAGATTTCTAGTCTCGTGGACATTCAGGAAGACTACCTCATGTGGTTCTTGCATCAAGCAGGGATGGTAAGGATTCATGTAAACCATGTCTTAAAAGATTTAGTCTTTTTCACAAAGTACAGATCAGGACAGGAAAAGCATATCTGAGCTGTACAGTTTGTTTTGTTTTGTTTTTTAATATCTTGTTGAGACAAGGTCTGTTATGTAGTTCATCCTGGCCTTGAACTTATTGTGCAGCCCAGGCTGATCTCCAGTTCATGGTGATCCTCCTGCGTCAGCCTCCCGCGTGCTGGGATTATAGGTGTGCACCACCACTTCCAACTGTACAATTTGTTTTAGACTTTGATGTTAGTGTCACAACTGTTTTCTATCCACCTGGCTTTTGCAATCTTGAAACTTGGGAAGTACTTTAGGTAATCACAAATGTCATAAGGAGTTGTAAGTGAGTAATCGCCCAGAATGTTATAAACTTTTTTAGTTAGCAATATTAAAAAAAAAAAATCAGGGTTCTTTGGTCAGGATGTAACAGTGGTGATGTGTGTACTTAGCATGTTCAAGGTCCTGGATTCAGTCCGCAGCATCACATGAAAAAATAAGCAAAAATGACTATGTCTGAAGTAGTCAAATTCACAGAAACAGAAAATAGAATAATGGGTGGGAGGGGTAAATGGGAATTGTTATTTAATGGATATAAAGTTTCAGTTTTCAAGAGAAAAATTTCTGAAGATCCTTTTTTGTACAACAATGTGAATATACTTCTATTAAAACCATACATTTAAAAATAGTAAAGGTGTTAAATTTTGTGTTAGCTCATTTTTACCAAGTTTTAAAAAAGAAACCATATGGGGCCGGGTATTTAGCTCAGTGGTTACGGTGCCTGCCTCACAAGTGCAAGATCCTGAGTTCGATCCCCGATACCAAAAAAAGAAAAAAAAAGAATGCATATGAAAATATGAATTTCCAGCTTTTCTTGAAAACTTGAAAAATCTGGCAGTACAAATTGTTTTCCCAGATGGCACCAACTGGCTGGAGTTCAGTAGTGGCTCTTCAGATGAGGCTTGATGGAGGCCACAGTCCCCATAGCAGATTGATGTACCCCTGACTCGGAGGAAAGTACCATTTGCTAATTATTGTCTTCTCACTTCCAGCCTACTTTAGTCATCTTATGTCAACTGCCCAGCCCTGTAGGCCACCTCTGGTTTTAGGACTATTGATAGGAAAATGTTACACACCCCCTACCCAGATTTCAACAGTGTGTTCGGATGTACTGTTCAAGGAACTGTGGATTCCTACCTGCCATCCCTAGCATGGCAGGAACTGCTCACTTTGATTGCAAACTGGCTTTATATATATGCCTGTTTCTTTAGAATCCCCCTTAGCGGCATGTGAATTATGCCAGAAAACAGAGTAACTTTATTATTGTAGTTAAGTGATGTGCAGGAAACACATTTGAAGTGAGACCTTTGCCAGGTCAGCAGATTCATTGCCAGTAGTAGGGTAATGTTTTTCTCTGCAGGCTTTTTGGAGGTCAGCAATGGTGTCTATAAGCAAGGTATTTAAATAGGCTTATTTAACTAATAAACAGGCAAGATTGTGCACTTTGTCAGATAACAGATGATGGGTGCTACATGCAAAGTTGTATCTTTCTGTAGAAACATTTTAAATTGACACAGTGTTAATTTTTAATAAGATTTTATGATTACCCTGAAGAAACAAAATACTTTGCAGTAAGAATGAGGTGTTCTTCTTGATGAGATTGGATGGGAAATTTAACAGGGCGCTAGCAATGAAGTTTGCTATCACTGAATTTAGAAATTATAAAAAGATAAACTTTTCTGTTTTATCAGTTTGTGAACTCTTTGAATGATAAAATGTTAAGTGCTGAAGCAAATCTATGAATTATATAAGCCAACTGTTTTATTTTTAGGTTAGGAAATGGAGGCTCAGAGAAGTTAAACAACTTTTCTATGAAGTCTGTTACCTATAACTTTTCTTACCTATTGTTTCTGTGACTTGATCCTTTCCTTTTTTTTGGTACCGGGGATCGAACTTGGGACCTTGAGCTTGTGAGGCAGGTGGCGGAACCATTGAGCTAAATCCCCGGCTCCTGATCCTTTCCTTTTGACCCTGGCAAAGAAGTTGCTCATGTTAAAATTTAGATTATCATGATTGGTTTCCAAATGGAGGTACTTAATGAACAAATTTCACTTTTTGAGGGGGTTCTTCAATGATAAAGGTAGTTATTATAGAAAGACAAAATTAATGTATATCCTTTCGTGATTTCCGTGGAGTTTTTCCTATTGTATTGGGTATGGTGCAATTAGAAATCGATGTTCAAATTTCTTGGTATCTTGGATATTTGCTACTGCTGTTCCATATATACTTTTTTATTTTAACCACTTTATTATTTTAGCCACTTTAAAGTAAAAATGATAGATTTTTTTTTAAAGCTGGCTACAGCAAAGGCATTATAGAATATAGTGTAGAGCACGTGCTTCAGTTAAAAAGGCTGAGATGTAAGTCTTAACTCTTGTCTGCTGGCTATGGCCTCAGTCAAGTTCCCTAATTTCTGCAGGCTTACCACCTGCAATTGTGAATGAGAACTATGACAGTGTTGTGAGGATTAAATGGAAGAATGCATTGAAGGATCATTAGCAAGATGCCTGAGGTATAATGAGCCCTCAGTATCTGTGTTTCACTAAGCAGTTCTGCAGCATCGAATGTATATCATATTCCTGAGTGAGTCATGGGGGCTGGAGACAGGACCTGGAAATGGTTCTGTCTTTGCTGCGTGTTTGGTTCAGTTAAGAAGCTGCAGTGAGAAAGAAATTACAGAGGGATATGCACACATGTGCAGAAGGAACATTGTAAAGTGCCTGCATTCTACTCATTTTCGGAACAGCTATTAGTAGTTTATTTCAGTCAATAATGTGCCATCATCTATGCTTGAAAATCAAACCCCCCATAGTGTGAGCATCTTTGCAGGCTCCCATAGAGGACAGCACAAATGAGGCATTCAGTGATGCACGGAAATCCTGCAGAACTAACCGCCAGAGAGAGCTTGCTGTCTGGCTTTGTTTGTTGAAGGAGATGCACTGCACCAGGGCAGTGTTTCTGCACCAAGGGGCAGTGTTTTGCATGTGTAAGACAGTGCAGACCCTGAGCAGAACTATCTGCATTTCCTCCCGGAATTGCAGGTGTTTGTGCAAATGTCTCCTGCCTACTCCAGCTGGATTTAGGAAATGTTTTATTGGTATTATTTTTAAAAAAATATTTGTAGTTCTTTGGTTTTATACAATTAATTCCTTCCATTTTACATGTTTTAAAAGGTGACTTTAGGTCACAGTGCAACCCTGTTTGAATCAGGCACCCTTGAAGTTGGTTCACCAGTACTTTGTTAGTTTTAAGTTTGTGAGACCCTTTTTGGGGGAGTGGATATCCCAGGATACTTAGCCTCTCTAGAGATGAGCACTTTTCCTGATCAGTCCGTATGCATCTTTCTAGACTAGAAATAGTAGCAGTGGGAGAAAAATTGCTGAAACTTATTTCACAGGAATGCCAGTATTAGAAGCAGTTTCTAAAATATTCAAGCACAAAAAAATCAGCAAAATTATTATATTTCAAATATAAAAACTCATAGACTTATAAAAATTTATAAGACAGGCATGGTGGCACACATCTATAATCTCAGCTACTTGGGAGGCTGAGGCAGGAGAATCTGATGTTTGAGACCAGCCTGGGCTGCAAGACCCTGTCCCAGAAAAAGGGCTGGGGATATAACTCTGGTAGAGGATCCCTGGTTTAATCCCTAGGACTGAAAAAAAATACCAAACAAAAGTTTTAGATGTAGTTCAGCAATTTCTTTTGATTGAATCTTAATCCCTCCTTTGCCTTCCTGAGAGTGGGCACCTTGGTTTTCAAAGGCTTCATTATCTTCCGTCTGCCTTGGTGGCTCCCCTGGGGTCTCCAGTCCACCAACTCTGGGAAACATGTCTCTGGCCGTGACTCTGGCTCCTAACCAAGGCCATTAAGATTTCTTTCCATCTGAACCAACTGAGAGAACAGTGACCCTGGGCTCTTTCACTGTGGGGTGTGGGAAAAGTCAGCTGAGGGGACAAGAAGCTGCAGAAGGTGGATGTTAAACAGGGGTAGGGAGAGAGAAACAGAACAGGAATGAAGAGCCTAGAGATTCAGAGGAAGATCATGCTGTTGACTGAAGAATTATATTACACCATCAAGAATACTAATACTTTAAAGTGCTGGGTACTAGGACACTGTCGCGTCACCACTGTTTGTAGTTACTGTTCTTGATACCCAGCAAGGGCTCACTGCCTGATGTGCATAGAAGCAAAAGAGAGTGAATTTTATTGTGCTGTTGACTGTCAGGGACACAGGAGCTATGAGCTCGAATCTTCCCAGTTCACTTGGTACTGTGGGAATCTGTAGGAAGGGAGAGGGGAAGAAGCTGCTTGTTGATTGGGAAGAAGGGAAAGTTTTAGGGTTCTTTTGTGCAGATGTCACATCTCTTTCACAGGTTGCATGTTTCTTTTCTGGGGGGTTGTGTTTGGTGTGGGGGATTGTGAGCTTGTGACTTCAAATGGCATTGACTGGATGGGCCAGCTACTTCTGTGCATGTACATTCTTGAAAAGCTGGTTTCAGGCCATCCTTGAGTGGGTTCTAGAAAAACAACTTAAATACTTTGTTATTTAAAGAATGTAATGGGGGTGTGTCCAGGCCTTAGCCAATTTTATTATTGCTTTTCCCATATCATTTTTTATATTCCAAGTGTTCACACCCTTTCTTTGCTTTGTATAACACATGTTCAAGAGCTTTCTTTTTCCTTGTCAGTAGACAAATAATGCTTAAACAGATCTCTCCTATAAGGAAGATTAAAACATTCTAAATATTGGTACTGGTGTTACCAGCTAGAATGGGTAAGTGCCTCATGTAAGGTGAAAAGTATGCACAGACTAGTTGTGGTTAAATCAAAGTGAAAGTTTATTACAGAAAAGTACAGCAGGTTACCCTATAAGCAAAGTGGGTTAGTTAAGAAGCAGAGCAGAGCTGGGCATGGTGGTGCATGCCTGTAATGCTAGCACTCAAGGAGGCTGAGGCAGGAAAATTTCTAGTACTAGCCCAGGCAACTTAGTGACTTAGGGAGACCCTGTCTCAAAATATGAAAAAGGCTGGGGATGTTGCTCAGTGCGAAGGCCCTAGGTTCATTCATTCTCCAGTACTGCATGCGCGTGCACACACACCCCCTTACCCACCTACCCACCCACCTAAACCAGAGCAGCCCGGCTACTCCATAGATAGAGTGGGTAGCCCCAGGAGAAAGATGGTAAAGCTAACTGCTTCATGGACAGAGCGGCTTCCATCAATGGGATCTTTCATTTTTATGGAATCTCAGTGGACTATTGATACTCATTTTTTTTAATAGGAAGGGGTGAGGTCTCCTGCACTAGGTGGAGTTTACTGTGCAGTGTGTTTGGAAGTCTAGGATCCCCTCTTGTCAGATCAGTCTCCATTTTGGCTTGCGTGTGTCTCATCCTTTTTGCCCACACATCTCACTGTCTTATCTCAAGGACTGTAGTAGCTTTCTAATTTACTTAACAGCCTAATTTGCATTCCCACTCTAACCACTTCAAGTTGCAGCTGCCTGCTCCTTTACTCTCAGGCTGCTGCTTTAAAGACTTGCCAAACCACCACACACACACACACATACACACCCTGTGCCAGTTTTGTGCACCCTTCCTGAGGATGGTCTTATCTTTTGTAGGTACCTAGACAGAAGGAATTTAGATTCTTAAGTTCAAAGTAATTAGGTACGGAGGCATGAGACTAGAAGAAAACTGAACTTTGCATAGTGCTGTGGTATAGTATGGTAATTATTGTTTTGAAGCAATTTCATTTTTAAACTTAGACTAATTAGGGATATAGGCATGGGAATGAGTCAAATTGCCCTGGCTTATATATGCATAATTTTTGGTCTCACTAGACTAGAATTGTCTCTCTGAATATTGTTTCTCAGTCTCGAGAAATGTTGCAGAATTCCTAAAGTAATCTAGTTCTAAAGGATTAACAGGGTGGATTTTAATTAAAATTGCCTTTAAATGATTTCATTTCAATATTCATAAACACAAAAGGAAGTATATCCTTTGTATTCATAGTATTTAATTATAAAACCAAATCAAATTTACAAATAAAACATGAGAAAAGTCAATAAAATGCATCTTAGCTTCACCGACTTAATGTGATGAGCAAACCTGTCTTCTGAAGCAGTCCCAGCTGTCAGCTCAGAGCACTTCCATTCCATGTTCCAGTGCCTCTCTCCCTGGGTGACTCAGCCCTTTTCTTCCTTTCATCTGCTGTTAGTCCTCATTCATGCAACAAGCCAGGATTGCATCAGCCTTTTCCTTGGTAAAATTGCAGTATTTACCTGGCAAGACTGCTTTTCTCTTTTCCCCTTACCCTTGGACAGTTAGGTATTTATATGGCTCCAGTACAATCCTTAAAAAATAAATGTAAATCCTGTGTTTACGTTCTGTTCTGAGGAGCTCATTCAGATTGTGTTTTTATTTTGCTTAGAAGATCATTTTTAAAACCATAGAGTATTTTCAAATTTCTGGAATAAATTTATGGTTTTCTATTTGAGAAATATTGCTGTAGATCATCATGATCTATTTTGTTGATTTTTTTGTCTCTGTTAATGATATTTGTTACATAACTTAACACATTTCCAGAAGAGATTTCCTTTTTTTCCTTACTCTGTACATGAAACCATGACATACCTGTTAGATGTACTTCATCGTGGTTGTATTTGTTTACTAGTTCTCCTCTCCTCAAAAATTTATTTGTTGATTCAAGCATTGATGGAATGGTTTCCATTGACAGCTACTGACCTAAGTGCTGAGTCAGGGACAGCATACTGAATAGTCTTCTATGTATTTGGTTCCTCCTAAGTTTGTATGAAGGGGCATGCAGCATGTTAACACATAAAATTAATTTTAATTACAAATCCTAAATCTGAAATCCAAATGTTCCAAAATCTGAAACTTTCAGTGTTGAGAAGATGCCACAGGTGGGAAATTCCATACCATGAAACCTTGTAGCAGATTCCCTTCAGACTCTGTGCAGAAGATGTATATGAAACAACTGAATTATCTGTTTTAGACTTGGGTCCTATCTGCAAGATTTTTCATTATGTATGTGCAAATGTTTCAAAATCTGAAAATATCCAAAACATTTTTGGTCCCAAATATTTTGGATAAGGGATACTGAACCACTTCACACAATAATGTTAACCTGTGAAGTCCAGGTTGTTCAGCTTCTGGTTTGGAATTAGGTTTCTTGTAAAGAGAATTCTATTAATGCTGTGAATTATGACATGTTAGTGAAATGTCCTTTAATGGTTCTTTAAAATTTTTTAAATTTTTTCCCCTCAGTCTGTGCCATCAAAATATCTATTCTTTCTCCAAATCAAAATGTATTCAAATGGTGTTAGTTTCATGGTTGAATACTAGACTATATTTTATTGTTTATATTTTACATTTTTAGGGGTTAAAAAATCAGGTTTTGCAATTTAAGACTTCTTCTTTTTCTTTATACAGAAGGCTAGACCATCTATAATACAGGTAAGTGATAATTTTAAAATTTAAATATTTTTCCAACAGTACTCTTTGTAAAATACAGTAATATTGCCAATAATTTATTTTATGCTAGGATGCTGTAACACTTTGTTCCTACCCTTTCATCTTTGATGCCCAAGCCAAGACCAAAATGTTACAGACGGATGCCGAACTACAGATGCAGGTATCATATTTTGAAAATTTCCCCTTTTTACTATGCTTTTGCCATCTTACATACTCAGTTTTAATTTTGCCTGACAGGAGAAAGTATATCTGAGTGAAATTTCATTATAATTCTTAGAACTCTTCTAAGTTTTTTAAGTAGTATAGTATATATATGTTAATGAACATCTATGTTGGCTGGGAATAGCAAATATTTTCTGTAATGGGCTTAGTTACTTTTCTCTAGTTCCTGAGACAAAATACCTGACACTCAAAGTTAAAGGGGGAAAGGTTTATATTGCTCACAATTTGTAGAGGTTTCAGTCCATAATCAGCTGGCTTCCAAGGCAGAGTGGCACATGGCAGAGGGATAACAGTTCGTGGCAATGGAAGACAGCAAAAGTAAGAAGGGAAGCAGCAAGCTACCCTAACAGCATCTCCCTGCCCCTTTTATCTTATCCAGACTCCTTAGGGCAGGTAGCACTCACTCCCTTACTCCTGGTGCCCTGGAGCTTAGCACTGCACCTTGAATCAGTCCCAGAGTCACACATTCTAGACCCATCTACCTCAGAAAAAGCTCTGCCTCTGACTGCATGAGGCTTTAGGGGCATATCTAGTTATAAGCCATAACATGGCCTTATAGTAAATATTTCAGGCTTTGTGGGCGCTATGGTCTGTCCATAAAACAAGAAGTGATAGACAGTACATAAATGAATAAGTAGTGGTATTTGAATAAAACTGTGTATACTAAAGTTGGATTTTATCCAGTTTTCAGTTGGGAAATAGTATTCTTTTTATTTTTTTTCTATGACTTAAAAGTGTAAAAATCTTTTGTTAGCTCAAAAACTGTTCAATAGCTGGATTTGGTGGTTCATGCCTGTAATCTTAGTAACTTGGAAGGCTAAGGCAGGAGAATTGTACGTTTGAGGCCAGCCTGGGCAATTTAGTTGATTTAAATCACTTTCCTGTACCTGTGTATAAATTATATGATTCATAAACTGTTTCAGTTAATCTGTGTTTTAGAGATGAGATTAAAGGACTTGTGTGTTTTGTAAAGATAAGTAACTTGAAAAATAAAAAGAATAGGCTGGGAATACAGGTCAGTGGTTATAGTACTTGGCTAGCATGGGTTTATTCCCCAATACACACACACATATACCCCACCCTGCAGAAATGGGCAGCAGAATAGATTTGATCTATGGGACCAAAATTTGCTGATCCCAGATGTACAGAGAGATAATTAAATGAATCTTGACTACTTTAATTGAATGGAAATTTAAGATATAGAGATTTAATAGGGTTTAATACATATTTTTATTATAAGATACTGATTTCAACAAGCCTACCCAGGGACTTGTGAATTAGCAATCAATATCTGACAGTTTTTACTGTTGGTAGATATACGCGTCATTCATCTCTCTGTCTCTCTCCATATCTGCCTTTCTGTCTCTCTGTAGTTCTGTCTACATGTCTGTTTTCATAGATGTACCCATGGTACTGACAATTCAAAGGTCCTCCAGAGAAATGGATACTTTTCACAAAAACTTTTTTAACAAATGATTGTTAGGTTTTCTTACCTGCCATTTTGAAAACCATGGTTTTTACCAGTCTGTCCTATTTCAAGTACCTTTTTATTTTGGACTTAATCAACTAGTCAAAATCACTCTGCTGGATCTAGTTATAAGTCATAAGATTCATAAACTGTTTTCACTTAGTGTTTTTTTTTTTGGTACTGGGGATCAAACTCGGGACCTTGTGCTTTCGAAGCAGGCAGAGGGACCACTGAGCTAAATCCCCGACCCACTTAGTCTTTTTGAGACCAGATTTAAAGATTTGTGGGCTGTGTAAAGACAAGTAACTTGAAAATCTGTAAGAGAGGAAAAAGGACAACATGGAAGTGTAGTCAGCCCCGCCTGGTTCCAAGGCACAGCTGGCTGCTCTTCTGTCCTCAAGGGTGCTTTGAGTAACTGTGTTGTGGGGTATGTCGTTCCAGGTAGCAGTCAATGGAGCCAACCTGCAGAATGTCTTCATGCTTCTCACCTTGGAGCCTCTGCTGGCCAGAAGCCCTTTCCTGGTCCTTCACGTTCGCAGGAACAACCTCGTTGGAGATGCCCTAAGAGAGCTGAGCATTCATTCTGATATTGATTTGAAAAAGCCTCTCAAAGTGAGCTCCTTCAGTATATATACCTCTAAATGCCCTCAGAGGTTTTCATTAAACAGTGAAAGCAGCAAAGATCTTATTAAAATTGTGGAGTACAGCCATTCACAATTTCTTTCATTTATTTTATAAGAAATAGTCACTTTTTTCTGTAAAATCACCAGAGCATCTCAGTGAAACATCAGATAAAAGATAAAAGTGCTAGGGATTATTTGAGGGATCATAGGGCTTTCTGTGCCTTCCTCTGCTGTCTTTGGCATATCCTCTGTAGCCCTACCAAAATAAGCAAACAACAACAAAAAGTAAAGCTTCAGCTGTATACAACTCTTGAGCTATTGTTTAGGAAGATTTGGATGTCAGAGAATTAAAAGAAAGTAGGTAAAATAGGAGACTGGAAAGGTAAGAAATTGCCAATGAGGCTGGTGATCTATCAGGATAGGCAATTTAGCAATCTGAAATTTTTAAATTTAGAAATTGTTTCTTCCCATAGACTACATATTTGTATTATTGGTTCCTGTATCCTAGGGTTTGGCATCATGTTTGGTACGTAGTTGGGGTTCTAGAAATATTCAGTAAATAATTTGAAGTTGTTTAAAGTCATACAAGTTCTGTGTCTTTATTTCTAATCCTGTTGTAAATACTGGTTTCAGAAATATAGTAGGCAAGGAATTGAATGATTATTTCCATAATATTGTTAACCCTTTCTAAAATTTGATAAGTAGCATCAGTCTCATCAAATTCTTTCTAAGACTTATGAGTTATATTTTTAATATTGCTTTTCTTTTTGCCAGTAATTCAGTCAGTAATTGAGATGGGGCTGTTCTTGCTTTGTAGCACATCTGAATTATGTTTTCTGCTGGTGTCTGTATACTTACAGCCCTAATATCTGTCCTACTCTAGATAGCCTGGAACATAACCATAAAGAAAAGCCTTCGCAAATGTTGTCTTTAGCTCTGGGCCTTAGCCATTATCTGTAAAATGTGGATAATAATGGTAATCCCTGTGCTTTGGCTGCTTTGAGGATTAGATTAATAGTTTTTTAAGTGTTAGCATAAGATTAACTCAGTATCATTTTTTGGTTTCCTATAGTCCTTACTTTTAATGACCATTATGGGTCCAGCATTCCTGTTTAAGCCCCTCACAGAGCCCATGTCTCTGTCTGCTCAGATTGCCTTCCATGCTTCCATGACACCAACAGTTCCACTGAGAGTGATTTTTTTCAGAAAGTGTTCCCATACTCAAGTAAATCATTTCTTTTCTCTGTGTCAAAGTATTTACCTCTCATATATTTCATTCTTTGAAAGTAAAATGTATTCTCTAATTGCTTCTTTTATATTTGTTTTACTTCTCTCAAATAGGTAGTAAACTCTCTGTGGATATATGGTAACTTCTGATCTCCTTTGTGTCCCTTGGAACATCTAATAAAAGTTGTGTACATCTATAAGCGTCTTGTTAAACATTTATGCAGTCAGCAAAATCAAAAAATAAACCTTATAGTTTTCATTGCATCAGTATATATTCTCTGTTAGGTTTTTTGTCCTTCGTACTGGTTTTAGAAAAGAATCTTCTAAAAGATAAAATTTAGCCATGTTCTGTGGCACACATCTATAATTCCACCTTCTTGGGAGCTGAGGGAGGAGTGTAATCTGAGCAACTAAATGAGGACCTTCTCAAAATATAAAAATAAGAAGGGGTGAGGGTACAGTTCAGTGGTAGAATACTTGCTTATCAGGTGTGAAGCCCTGGGTTCAATCCCTAGTGTAGCCTTCCCCGAGCCATCGATTTCCCTGAAATATTAATTCTGTTTTCATGATATGATTTTAAGGTAATCTTCGATGGGGAAGAAGCAGTGGATGCTGGTGGTGTTACAAAGGAATTCTTTCTTTTGCTGTTAAAAGAACTTTTGAATCCCATCTATGGAATGTTTACCTACTATCAGGATTCAAATCTCTTGTGGTTTTCAGATACAGTAAGTTAGTAATGTTACAATTAAACAAATGGATTGAATTAAACTTCCTTTTTGTTTTTAGATCAATCTCATTTTAACTTTGTAAATGAGAGAATAGCAGAGATCATTTAAAATGTCTAAGTAATGTAGTGAAGAGTAGTTTTCCTTTTCTATCTGTTGTCGAGATCTCAGTGTGTTTCCTCAGCCTTGAGCCCCACTGCCATTTCTAGTAGGTAAGATCCAGGTCTTAATATCTACAAAGGGTAAAAAGAACACAGTGTGATAAAGAAATTGATTTTATAACATGTGGAAAGTCAGTAGTCAAACATGTCTTCTTTTAATACAAATGATAACTCATGTATGAATATGCACACACAGGCATATGTGGACTTTATTTTTAAAAATTCCCTAAGAGGACTGTGTTCTAGAAGGCATTCTAAATTCATTCAGCCTACAATTTATAGTTGCTTTTTTTCTGCAGATTTTCTCTAGATTAAAAAAAGGTAGTCACCAGCCACATGTAGTTATTTAAATTTAAACAATAAAGGTCCATTTATTCAGTTGTTTTAGCTGCATTTCAGATGCTCAGTAGACACATCTAACTAGTGGCTACTATAAGGGGCAGCACAGAATAGAATGTGTCCATCGTTGCAGAAAGTTCTATGGACAGCCCTGCTATAGATAGCTAGGCTGTTCCCAGTGTCACTGGAAGGGTCATAAATGCTTGCCTTGGTCCACATTAGATCTTTTGGGGAATAATGGTACTTTTGTCAGAGATGTTTCTCTGCCTCAAGAGGTAACTTAAAATATGAATGTGATCTTTACTGTTTTATTCTGAAAATATTTTGAGATAAATAGTACAGTGTTTTGAAGGCTGCAGTCACTGCATTTCTTTAACACATTTGTATATTTCCTAAAAAGTGTTTTGTAGAGCACAACTGGTTTCACTTGATTGGCATCACTTGTGGACTGGCAATCTACAACTCGACTGTGGTTGATCTCCACTTCCCATTGGCTCTCTACAAGAAGTTACTGAATGTAAAGCCTGGTTTGGAAGATTTAAAGGAGCTGTCACCCACTGAAGGAAGGTACAAAGCATAAAAGACACACAGATTTGTGTGGATGACTGTTCTGTTGGCCTGTGGCACAGGGATTAAACACTGAAAATACCATATGTCCAAATTTGGCTTTTTTGAACCTGTGGAGACTCTGTTGTGTGTTCTTTGTCTTAAAACATAATTATACAGCAATGTTTGAAGCATTTCTGTGTCACTGTAAAGACAAAGGGCACAAAAAGAAAAGAGAAGTCTTAGCTACCCAGAAATACAAAACAATCTCTGCTTTCCTTATCCTCAACAAAATGTTAAAGCTTTGAGACTTGCCATAGTTCAGAGATAATAAAGTATTGAAAAGAAACTTTTTAAAGTTCATTGATTGATAGGTAGTTCACGTACCTTACAATTCACCAATTTAAAACACACAATTCCATGAATTTAGTGTGTTCCCAGAGTTGTGTGAGGTAATAACCACCACCACATCTAGAATATTGTCATCATTCTCAAAAATAAAAAGAGCCTTGGTTGTCATCCCCAATCTCTTTATTTTCCAGCCCTAGACAACCACTAATCTAGTTTCTGCTTCAATGAACTTGCCTATTCTGGAAATCTCATGTGAATGGAGTCATACAATATGCTGTCTTGTGTATCTGGTGGCTTTTGCTTAGCATGTTTTTAAGATTCATCCATGTTGTAGCATTTATTAGTATTTAATTTTTTAAGTTTGCCAAATAATAGACCATTGTACATGTACACTGTTTCATTTGTCCAGAAACATTTAGGTTTTTCCACTTTTGGGCTGTTAGGGATAATGCTAAAAAACACTTTTTACAAGTTTTTGTGTAGACATTAGTTTTTAGTACTCTTCATACATACCTAGGAGTGGAATTGCTGGTTTATAATTGTATATTTAGCCTTTTGAGGAACTGCCAGACTATATTCCAAAGTAGTAAAGTCATGTTTTTATGTGATTCTCTTTCTGGCTCTTGAAACTCCTTTTATGCTTGAGTTTGTCAGATTGGTGAAGTACATAAGAAGGCAACTTCTGCAGAAGGAAAATCCTCTTTTTATAGAGAAAAGGCACTAATTGTAAGGTAGAGTAAGAGGAGGAATGGTCCCTACAATGCCTTCTAGTAATGAGACTATGACATCTCTGGTATTGGATACCAGTACTGAGAAACCATAAAGCATGGGTGGGGCATGAGCACCAAGACAGGAAGAGAAAATTTAAAAGGAATATTAAAAGACATCAGAGGAGAACCAGGCAGTATTAATTTTTTAGTTCCTGAGAGAGAAGCCTAGATAGTGACAAAAGTATGTATTATAGACTTTGCAGTTCGGCTGAGAATTACATATTTTAAGTAATGATGTTGGCTGGTTAACTGGCTTCAGATTCAAGTTCCATGCTAGGCGTTTACATCTTGGCAACTCCTGATGGAATTGCAAAACTGGAGCTCACTAAAGAGGAATGTGTGAACAAGGTCTAGTTATAAGAATGTATTATCTTAAGAGCTGGGATAAGATATTGTTGACATAAACACATTTTTCTTTTTAAGAGTACACTTCTTCAACATCCTTTAATGTAACAGATAGTGAAATGTTTTTATCATACAGAGTCTTCTGCATTAATAAGAAAACCATTAACTAATACTTCAATCTTTGCATAGTTTCCAGTACTGGAGATATAAATTGTGTAAAGACTTTGAGAGGATATTTTTCAGAATATGTAAGTTTTGCAACTTTAAGTCCATGAAAATGCATTATCACAACATTTACTTTGCGTGTAAGCATTATTCATGTTTGTAAAAACATTGCAACTTCCTCAGTAAATGAAGAGATGATGCCTTTTTTGTTCACTTTGATTTGTGAAAGACAGTGTCTTTGAATAACTACATATGTGATGATGACCCATTGTGGATTTTTTTTCTTCTTTTGTTTTTGTGATCCTAGAGATTGAATCCAGGGCTTTGGGCATGCTAAACAAGCACTCTACCACTGAGCTACATCCTTATCCTTTTCTAAAGTATTGTTTTGAGACAGGGTCTCATTAAGTTGGCCTGGCTGGCCTCATACTTGTGATCATCCTGCTTTATTCTTCTGTGTAGCTGGGATTATAGCTATGTGCCACCATCATAGTTTTTGATTCAGCTCCTTGAGAGACTTAGGTTGTTCATCACCATATTTCAGATGACCACAGTTAGAAAAGTGGGTGCTCACAGGTACCAACCATATTGGTATTTATGTTTCACTTTTTGACCTATTTTTTAGTGAATATGGCTTTTCTGCTTTTGTTACACTTGACAATGATTTGCATACTGTTTATAACTGCAAAAATATGTATATCATTTGCCTATTTTATTGTATAATGTGGTCTATGAAGTGTTCTGTTATGTTTTTATGCTTTTCAAATCCCCTTTTAACAATGAAAAATATCTTTTAAAGACTTTTTATCTTTGAGTTCTAGGGATTGAAGCCAGAGCCCTATGCATCCTAGGCAAGTGCTTTTCTGCTGAACTACATACCTGCCTTAAAGAAATTTTTTTTGGTACAAGGGATTGAACTTGGGTCCTTGTGCTTGCACAGCAGGCAACGAAACCACTAAGCTAAATCCCTGGGCCCCTAAAGAAATTTTTAAATTATTTTTTCTAAAATTACCGCTTTTGGAATTTCAGACATTAGGAATTTTAGACATAAGAAATTTTGATCTTTCAGGATTTCAACATTTGTGATTATGAGGTTCAGAATTTCATCTTTTGAGATTATGGCCCAAACCCACAATTAAGACTTATAAGCAAATGAAGTAACTTTATGGCTTTTTTTTTCCCTCTCTGTACCCGTGTTCAAACTCAGGACCTTGCGCTTGTCAGGCAGGTGTGGCACCACTGAGCTATGCCCCAGGCCCTATGACCTTTTTTTTTTTAATGATGGAAAGATTATTTTAGTAATATGGTTGAAACCTGTCTCTAGGGCCATTGTCGTACCATATTCTCTTATATATTTCTATATAATACAGTACCAGGGTTAAGAGAACACAGTCATGTCAGATACTAAATTCATCTCAATTTCCCCATATATCCATTAAGATTTGTCAGTAGAAAGGGAAACAATACAAGTCTATTGCCATAGTTCTCTTCAAGGAATAGGTACATGGTTTTCTGTCAGTCTGAATTTAGGTTCGTTGTAGAATCTTATTTTTTAGTTTTTCCTTGCAAATGATCTGGACCAGTAATTGAGGTGTAAACACTACTGCAATGTTTGATTTGTTCCTTTTCCTTTTATGTCATTTTATAATTAGGAGTCTTCAAGAGCTTTTAGATTATCCTGGTGAAGATGTTGAGGAAACTTTCTGCCTCAACTTCACGGTAAAAATCTCCATACTGATTATTGTGGCTGTTCCATCATTCTTGCAATTCGTAATTAATATTAGTTCTTCTCTAAGTCAAGCAACAAAGGGATTCTGTGAATGAAATTATTTCACTTGTAGTATCTTGAATGTTATAGGTGTTCAATAAATGTGTTGAATGAATGATTGTACAATTAGGAAAATTACCTAAGCATTAATCTTCTTTAATCTTAACATGTACGAAATATTTTTGTATTTCTTTTCCAGAATTCTGTCATTTTCTTCTTGATTGCATTCATTGATAACTCCATAACTTAAAAGATGTCTTTTAAGGTGCTGATGTTTTCTGACTGATTGTTGCTCTCCTTAAGTTTTCTGTAATAATAGTCACTAAGTACATTTGTTCCTAAAACCTGTCATTTCAGTTCTAGAAAGGTAAGTATAAGCAAAATTGAGACTTTTTTTTTTCTTCCTTAAATGTAGATCTGCCGAGAAAGCTATGGTGTGATTGAACAGAAGAAGTTGGTACCCGGTGGAGACAAAGTGACTGTGTGCAAAGATAACAGGTTAGTTGTGACTGTGGACTATGGCAGACATGGCTGTGTTTTCTTTGGTTTTAACTTTTAAGCCCAGAATTGAGATGACATTTTAATCCCTCTGTTGAGGAGGTAAGGGTCATAGAGCAAGAATCTGCAGATTATAGTGAATTCTTAATAATAGACCAAGCACCAGATCTGTTTAGCTCTACATCTTACTGGTTTTGACTTCGGGCAAGTCATGTAAACTGCTCTCAGTTTGCTCATCTGTAAAATAGAGATTGTAATGATTGTCCTGCTTATTTTGTGGGATACTTGTTAGAATAAAGTGAGATGGTCTGTAGGAAACTATTGAAATGAATGAACTCCTAGAATGTAGCATAGAGTTTCTAGTATCTAGGAGAGTACCTGGCACAAAAATGCTACAAAAAATAGGTGTTATTAATAAGTGGATGTTATCAGGTGTGGTGGCACCTGCCTATAATCCCAGTGCTTGGGAGGCTGAGGCAGGAGGATCACTGCAAATTTAAGGTGAGTCTGGGCTACATAGTGAGTTCAAGCCAGCCTGCAAACATAACCCCCAAACTGTTAATAAAATTATGTATATGTAGAAGGAAAAACCAACTCAGACTCAGATTCGGTTTCTCCTACTCTACTTTCACAACCCCAGTTATTTTTGATGTTCTCCCCACTAGTAAGCAAGCAACTAATTCTGCATCAGATACCTGGGAGGTATCTTCTAATTCATTTTGGTTCAGATCTGCCTACCCAGAAATGAGGGTGCCTTGGTGTCTTCTTTGAGTCATCTTCCAGTGGCCTCCACATGTCCGGCACCTGAAAGGTCCCTGAAATCTGTCCTTTTGGGTTTTCATGGAGATAGATGCTAATATACAGTGGGGAAACCCTGCAAGGCTCATCTGTTCATATTCTTCTTGATCTGTCAGTGCAGCATTCCTTCTTCCCTGTAGGGCCAGGATCCTTCTGAAATGGAGGCCTTACTATCCACTGTCAGATAAGGGATGTCAGGGAAAGGCAGTGGAGATAAAGAGTTTTTGTAGCTTGCTCTGAGAGGGAGTTAAGGCCAGAGTCTATAGATAAAACCTCCAGATGTGTGTGAGTGCATGCACATGTGTGCGCGCATGCCCTTGAGAGAGAGATAATATCACCAGATGCTTGCTTCTGTTATTTTACTGCTGACGAATTTATAATATAAGCTTTCAGTTAATTTGTTCTGCCTGCCTTATAAAAATTCAGGTACATTTAATTTTTTATGATGTCGAGTTGTCTCTTTAGAGGAGAGAAGACATTCAATTTTGTTTACTTCATATTAAACTATGATAATCTGTGTATATATATCCATTTAGTTTACAAACACTAAGTGCCTACTGTGTGTCAAGCGTGTTGCCAAGAATAGATGAATAACTTCTGACACTAAGAAGCACAAGATGAGTTGAGAAGTATCAGTATATATGACTGATTGTCATAGATTATAGTATATATGATAGGAATTATAGGCAAAGTGCCATGCACTACAAGTGAGAGGCTAGAAAGTTTTTACTAGACATTGAAGAATGCAAGAATGGGGGAAACATTTCAGGCACAGGGAGTAATGTAAGTCAGGACTCTGAAGGTTGATATATAACAGGTTGTTTAACATTTGTGGGGTGGGGACTAATACATGGAGGGAGGGTGGTGACAGAGTAGAAGTTATCAAGGCCTGGAATGGACTTGCACTGAGATGTGGTTGATATCAGTTTCATAAAGATAACTTTGGTGGCCTTATAGAAATAGACTATGTATACAAAGACTGATTTGGAGGCTGTTGGAGTAGGTCAGGTAAAGAATAGTACGGGCCAGAATGAAGGTGGTGGAATACAAAGTTGGTTATATAGTCAGCAAGAGCAAGTGTCTGATTATATGAATGGTACAAACAAGAAAAGTATTGACAGTAATGCTGAGATTTCTAATTTGGACAGTTGAGTACTAGGAAACAGTATAAAGTAAATTTGAGGGGTGAAGTTGCATTTGAAAGATGTTGCTTTTGACATATATGTGATTCCCAGGATATTATATTTAGAGGAGAAAGTTTATGTGTGTCTCAAGAAAGGAGTCTTATAAAAGTGTTTTGTTTAGTTACTTAGGGCAACTTCAAAATCACCAGTGAATTTGAGGTCACTTAGGAGAACCACAAAGAAGTGGGAAATGAAATTTTTAAAAAGGCAAGGAAAATATGCATCCATAGAGGAGGTATATAATTAAAATAAAATGTAGACCCTTGAGATGATGACTTGAGCATCATTAACAGTAGGGTTGAGGGCCGGGGGCAGATTTAGCTCAGTGGTTCTGGCACCTGCCTCACAAGCACAAGGTCCCGAGTTTGATCCCTGATACCAAAAAAAATAATAATAATAATAATAGGGTAGAGGTAAAGCTTCTTGGCTTAAAGAGCAGCTTCAGGGGAGAGATGAGCAGAAGTCCTTCTCCAGTTGGGAGGGCAGTGGGTGAGGGAGGCTGTATAGAGGAATGCAGGGTCTCAGTTAAGCTCTAGAGAAAGTTAACCTACTGGAGAATTGTATTCAATCTCTAACTCACTTTGGGCTTTAGTTGGCTTCTTATTTTAAATAATTGCAAAGAGGCAATCCGAGAACTCTGAAATTCAGCCTTTACAAGTGATCTGCTTTGGTTTCTTTCCATTACTTTTCCTTTTGAAAACAGAAATGATAAAAAACCTAACAGACTTTTTCCTATATTTTAACAGTTTTAGAAACATCTAGAAGCTAGTACATATTGACTGTCTCTTACTGAAATTCTTGGAACCAAAAGTATTTTAGATTTCTAAGTTTTCAGATCTTGAAGTATTTAGAGCATAATGTTGTACTTAAAAAGCTTCAGGTCCGGGGATTTAGCTCAGTGCTTCCGGCACCTGCCTCACAAGCACAAGGTCCTGAGTTTGATCCCCGGTACCAAAAAAAAAAGTTTCAGATTTTGGAGCATTTGGATTTCAGGTTTCCAGATTAAGGGTGCTCAACTTGTATGATCTAATAAAAGATTCAGAGGAGAGTAGTTTGTGGACTTAGTGCCTAGTCTGAACTTGCCACCACCACCATATCCTCAGTAAAAGGGCCAAAAGTTCAAGCAAGAAAGGTCACAGCTGGTAGTGAGGCAGGGAGTGATGGTGTCTTTCTTACTTTGTTCATTCTCTGGGCTTGAGATCTTTTTTGGAGCTGTATCAGGAGTGGATCTGATGAGTTAAACCATTGCCATTACTTGAACAAGCTGGTTCTTTGCACTGGCCTCTTCCAGTGGATGGCACATAAGGACGTAGAAAGATGAGAAAAGAATGGACTAGAGAAGGAGAGTGCCTGGAGCCTAAATTCAATAACCCTGACCCAGTTGACCTGTATGATCATATGCCGATGAGGACCTCACAGCCCTCAAATGACAGAAACAGCAGCACTGACCCATCTTTTCCTTAGCTGCCTCCTCCTAGCATCCACCCACCCACCTCTCACCTCCTACTTCTTCTTCTGACTGTACCTCCCATTGGGGCCAACCCACCTTTCACCCTTCACCTTAATCCAGGCTTCTTCCCTGTACCAAATGCTACAGTGGGACCTCCACCAGCTATTTACAAGAAGGCCTGTACCTGCCGTGGCAGCTGAGATTCAGGCCCTCCATCCTCTACATTGAGTGAAGTCATATTTGAAGAGATCATGGAGTGGAACAAAGTGAATTCTAGCAGTGCCATTTCCAGAGTGTTATCTGGAGCCAGTGTAGGGGATTACAGTGACACAATGAAGACACTGCTTGTACCCATTGTGGTTATCAGACAGTCCCATGGCCACCACCAACACTGAGTGTTGCTGAGTCTTCATCTCTTAAGGACTGTCTTCATGGCATCAAGGCCAAGTCCTACAGGGTGGGTGCCGTATGGGGTGCTCCTCTGAAAGGGATACAGGTCTACAAGTCCTGGAAGAGCAGCAGGAGATACCGGGATCTGCTTCATAGTAAAGATTGGCATGATGATTATTTCTAAGAAAGGAATGAAGAGCCTGAAAAACACCAAGACAGGGAATGGGACCAGCACCACTAAGAAAGAAGTTGGGTTGGAAGCAAATGTTGTTTTAATGGACTTGTATCTCCACCTTGATCAGAACTAAAGGGCAGAGGATGCTCTACCTCTTCCCCTTCCTCTAAACCTTAACTCCCTCCTGACACCCATGGAATACTCTCTGCCCTACAAGTTTGAAGATGGCTTGCCATCCCTCCCAACTCTACACCCTCTGTTTGCCAGGGCAAAGAAATTGTGCCTTTGTGTGGTCAGGGCGGAGGCAGACAGGGAGAAAGCTACATGTCCAGGCTCTGATCTTCATAGATAATGGTGCTTTGTCCAAGAATGCATATGTATTTCTGACTCTCCACAAGCAGTTCAGTGGTAAGGTTAGTGGGAAAACTTTTTTCCCAAAGCAAATAGATCCTCCATGCAGGATCTAGTAATGACTGGGTGTGCCAAAATATGCCTGGGGTCCTGTCCTTAGCACTAGATCTGATGAAGCCAATAGAGTCCAAACAACTCCTTTACCTTTTCCCCACACCTTTGAGAGGGAACCATGAGAACACAAATTGCCTTGGGAAGACCTGCTTCTCTGATTTTGGGGTTTCCATCTCACATATTGCTAGTTTGTGTCCCTGACCCTGAGGGCTAAACTCTTTTGACTCCCTGGTGCCCAGCCTCCTTGGTGAACCTACCATCCTAAGCAGGGGGGCCTGTGTGGATGCTTTAGGCTGGCAGAGCCCTACTACACTCCACTGCTTTGTGAATGGTTGCCGCTTGCAATAACCAGCTCTTGTAGTTGTCCTTTTTGCTGGGGCTCTTCTGTTTAATACATGGCGCCCTTCCCCCAAGAATGCTACTTCCTTGTTTTAAAGGAAGTTTACTGCCATTGGAAGATGGGGATATTGGGATGTCAGCAATGATAAACCCTAAGGAAGTACCAGGAGGAGATGGGAAGGAGGCCAGTGAGTTGGCA